CTTGGGTAAACCACACGTTTCTCCATGTAAGCCTGGCCTTTAGATTACAGAAGCATATATTTAATAACTAATGTCACATATCAAACAGTCTCAAATGTACTGAGAATTCAATATGTCCAGAATTGAACTCCTGATCTTCTCTGAATCTTGGTGGTTTCCTATCGTGATGAATGGAAACCAGGAAACTGAACTCACCTTGAAGTCTATCATATCTTCACTCTTTGCCATATCCAGCTCTTCATCAAATTATGTTATTTTTTTCTCCTAAATAAGCTGTGAAACCTACTTCTTTTTCAGATTTTTATTACCAACTTTGTATTCCAATGTACTGCCATCCCTTGCTAGCATGTAGAAACCTAGAAGCTTCTATCTGGTCTACCCAAATCCACTCTGGCCTCTTCTAGCCCATCTGCATCTTCTCTCACATGTCATCTCCATCTTTTCTCCCACTGCTCCTTCAACAGTACTATTCACCATTAAGACTCTCCACTGGCTTTCCACTGCTCCCAGGATAAAGGGCAACTGCTCAAACAATGACTCTGAATGGCCTCATTCCTACCCGCATCTCAGTTCTACCTTACACAGGATTCTCCTTGATCTCTCAGTTCCAGCCTTTCGAACCCCATGTAATCCCACTGAATCGCTGTTTTCTATTTTAATGTACATCCTTCAGGTCCATAATGGTCATTATTTTTCAAACTATAAGTTTAAACTTCTCAGGTTTTAGGATTTTGAACACCTAGAGTTGATCAAGTCTATTGTAAGCACTCTAGCATCATATACATCTTCTTTCTGATATAACTAGAATTTCAATTGTTCCCCAGATTTTGTGATGCTGTCTTTTTAAAAGAAGTTTAGATTTCATACAGGGCATTGTCCAACATTTTCTCACCACATTTTCAGTGTCTAGCACAGTATATAGTACAAGTAAATGGCCAGTAAGTTACTTGTTTCAACAAATGACTTATTTTTTGTAACAATGAACATCTCTACAATGGCAGAACTACCTTTTCTAAAGTGGCAATGATGAAAGCATCACCTCTACAGGAAGCAGTGCAGGGGGTAAGAGAAGCATAGATCCTGGAGTCAGACACACCCTGCTCTTCCTCATAGCACCTATAACCCTCATGGACAGCAGTTTTCTCCACATCAGAAGTGATGTGAGCGATGCCTTCTTTCAGGGATGTTTCAGGGTAAGGGACACAGAGTTGGTACTTACCGGATAATTACACTAAGAAACATATTCATTTAAGTAACAATTATTAAGTACCTAATTTATAGCAGATTCATCATCCTCTTTGCTCCTCAACATGGCTATGAGCTTGTCTAAATCGTCTTTACCACTCTGAAGATACTGACGATCTCTCTGCAATGTGTTACACCTATTTTTAGTTTATGGTTTGTCATAAAATGTTACTCTCGATAGCTTCAACCCAACTTTTCTTTTGTGTTTTTAGCCTTTGCACTCCACCCTAAGGTCAGTGTGACATTAATTTTTAAATCTTTATATGTGTCTCTATGAGCCATATAAATATGGTATGAAAATACAATAGCTATCTAACTCATTTTTAAATGTTTAACTGGTTACCTACAACCATTATTTGGATAATTCAGTGCTTTCCAGCTGGATACTACAGCTTTATCATACTCATTTTGTACCTATCTAGCATCTATTTCATCTCTTTATGTTTGCAAGGTCTGTGGTAAATTTAATACCAATGTGTGCTATACTTTATAACTTACTTTAATATCTATAGTGCATGTGTGCCTCATTCATAATTGAGGAAGGTAGGCAAGATTGCTTAAAAGGAAAATGATGAAGTCCTTCTTTTAAAAAATGTTGCCTACTTTCTTGCACATATTTTTCCAGATGATTTCTAGAATTATCAACTTTTAAGGTAAGATACGTAGAGATTGATTGGTTAGAGTTTCAAATGTATACATCATGAGAAAGAAATGTCAGTGTTAAAATGTTGAAAATTCTCACCCTAGGACAAGCTAGTTCACTCCATTTACTGCTTTATCACTTCCTTTTCAGAAAAGATTTATAATTTTGTTTTTTCATGAGCTTCTGTATTTTTCATATTGTTTATTGTAAATTAGTATATATCTTTGCATATTTTTATTTCTTGAAAAGGGTCCTTACAGTCTACAACATTTTGCGAAGTGATCTTTTCTGTCCTATAGAGACATGATCTCTATATATTTATTTTAACAAATTCTTCAAGAATATCTCCTTATATGTAATTTTTATTCAAATGTTTCATAGTTAGTGACATTTTAAGTTTTAGGTAAAAAGAACTGTGTCATATACATGTATTTAATTTCCCAAAATGAATGCAATCATTATGTACTGCAAACCTGTACTAATAAAAAAATGTTAAGTGTTTGGTAAAAAGAAAAACCTTACAGACTTTAGAATCAAAGATAACTGTATTCAAATCATGGCTCAATCATTTCCTCACCATATAAGTATGGACAAGTTTCATATACTCTGAATCTCAGGATCCTCATCCACAAAAAGCAATCAATTCTTCCCATGATGCAGTCATGTGAGACAGACTACTTGCAAAGCACGTAGCTTAAATGCTGCAAAGACTAGAAAGTAAAGAAAATATTAGTTGGTTCCTTTTCATCTTTTTCCTTGTATAAAAATGATCTGGAAATTTCGCCCAGGAATTATAATTATATATAAATGCACACATAGCCTTTCAATACATTCATGGGCATCACAGATTAACTGTCCAAACATCTAGTAAGTGGACACTAAGTACTAGGCACAGTGTTGGATACAGATGATGCAAAGGTGACAATATCTGCCCACTGCAATGTGTGGCATTCCTAACGACATCTCAGACAAACAGCTGGTTAGAAAGCACTGCTTTCTCCTTCTTGGTCTTCTCATCATGGGTCTAATCAACCCGTTTCTTTACCCTGAACAGCTGCTGTCACGTATCTGACTTTCCTCATCTCACCACATAATAAATGGTTCTCAGCCTGAGCAGCCCGCTGCTGACTGTTGGGGATTCTCGTTTTTATTTCCTGAAGTTACTGTCCAAATCTTGATTTCATTTTCTGTTGATGCCTCAGGAGCTGACTTAGAATAAATGGAAGCTACCAACTGCCAACTGTGCTGTCAGCTGCGTGGTTGGGTCAAAGGTGCTGGGCTGAGCTTGCAAATTCTGATGGTTTGCCAGCAGCGAAGATATTCGCCTTAGAGGGAAGCAGTGCCCTCTACATACCTCATCCCACAGAGCTGCTGAATCTGCCAATTTCAGGCGATGCCCAATTTGGAGAAAAGAAGAAGCGCAAAGAAAGGTGTTTCCTTGACCTCTCTCTGCAAATCCATAAAACCACCTGCAGATCCAGCGCCACTGTAATCTTGGCCTTGGGCACAACCTGGGCATTAACAGTAGAGAAGAAGCAAGTTTCTGTTCCCCCAAGCACTGAGAAATGGCGTGACAGCTGGTTTCTATGAGCAGAACACATATTCCAACCCTGCAAAGAAAAATGTCCTCACAATGCTCTTTCATCTGTTAAACCGGATGAGTTGTATTACATGCTTTGTGACTTCAATATACTTATCAAAATTTTCTTCATGCTGAATTCTTGCAAATAGAAGGCTCTTCTTACATTAAAAAAATTGCCTGTGACAAACAACTTAAATGGTAAATTTCTGATTCAAAAATAGAAGAACTAGGAAAGTAACATCTAGAAAAAAAACCTATTGATTAAAATAATTTGACAAATGATATCAAAAATGAACTTAGCCATAGAAGTCACGGTCATATCAATGTGAAAAGAGAAATACTTCTGAAAGAATTTTTTTTTAATCTGGAAAGATGCACCCTCTGACCCACTTTGTGACACATGGTGAAGAGTTCAGTGACTATAAATGTTACCGATGACTCTTACCCCTGGTTTAACTCTGGGTTTTTCTAAATGCTTATGTAGCGTACAAATTATCTGCTGAAGCGTAGCCAAGGGTGCCAAGTGCACAGCTCTGGCGACGTCAGAAGAAAGTGAAATTTGGAAGTGAAACGGCAGCCTTTAAATAGCCCAGCTGTGTGCATGATAACATGACTTCAGTGGGTCTCCGTCATTACTACCAGGAAAGCACTCTGAAGGGTTTAATCCCAAAACAAATAACTTTCCATTCACTCACCACTGTGTTGCTTACCACTGCTGTAATCCCTGTGCTACTGTTCAAGATTTGATTCTGTCTTTCTTTTGTTTGTTTCTTTGGGAAATTGTCAAGAATATTGTTTAAAGCATTTTCATCATGGAAGTTATTAATGTAGGTGACACTGTAAGACTTCTGATGGGCAAGGAACACAGTTAAACATTTTTGGGACTGAAGTTACCATAAACCAATTTTTAATAGTGTCCTTGCTAAAACAAATTTTGAGGCATTGTAGATGAATTAGGATCCATTCCAATGAAGGAATGTGCATGTAACTATAGGAACAGTTTTAAAATTTCTTGGATTTCTATTATGTGTCAGGCATTATGTTAAGCACTTTACCTATTTTTTATCTACTCTTTTCAATAGGCTGATGAAATATGCACTATTGTCTCCAGTCAACAGAATGGGAAACCGGAAACTCACAAAGATTAAACAAAATATTTAAGCTTAGCGACAAGCTGCTTTTCAGTGGTACAACTTGGATTAAAATCCAAGCCTTTGTGACCCAGGGCTTTTTCTCTTCCATTATATCCCACAGAATCACCTGTTCAACAACAACAACAAAAAAGAAAAGATAAAAAGCACAATTTAAATATATTTCTTTTCAGTAACAATAATAAACTAAAAAGATCATTTATAATTGGTCATATAGACAACAGTTCATAAAAATATCTCGTAAAATAACACTTGCCTTCCAGTAGTAAACTATTCAGTGGGAAATTTGCTATCGTTGTTATTAAAACATAGTATAAATCATTTCAATTTTTCTAACAAAATTAAATCTGCATTAGGCTCATAGCATAAGTACAAAATGTGGCATGGTTGTAAAATTTAATGTAGAATTTTAAAAACCTTTCTCTACAAATAAAAATTATATATTCGAGGGGTACAATGTATGGGGACACATCATGAATTGATTGGCATAATCAAGCTAATCAGCATATCTAGCCCCTCACAATTTTTTTACTTGTAAAAACACAAGAGAAAAACAACTCTTTTACTCTTTTTACAATAGTTATCATGCTAACCGTTAAATCTCCAGGATTTATTCATCATTCATAATTAAAATTTTGTTCTTTTTGATCAACATCCCCCTTCATACAACCTAGCCTCTGTTTCTGTTTCTTTACATTTCACAAATAAATAAGTGAATTCATAGTTTTGTCTCCCAGCATGAGCTTATTTCCCTTAACATAATGCCCTTCACTTTCATCTGTGTCACTGCAAAGGGAGGGATTCTCTTCATTTCCAAGGTTGAATAACATTTCATTACATATAGAACTAACATTTCATTGCATATGTACTTAACATTCCAGTCCTCATGTCTCTTGATTTATTTTTGGATTCTTAGTGATCAAGAGAAACATAAAGGCAAAAAAGATGTCTTTCTTCTGTCCTTCTCAACCTAGTTACCTAGTTTTGATTTAACACCTCCAACTTCCAAGTAAGTTTTGAGGTATTGGTTATGTTTATATCTTGAAAAGGGGCCTTAGAGTGTAGCTCAGTATAACAATATGTGCTTAGCATATCTGTGGCCCTGAGTTCAATCTCCAGCACATATATACATACATATATATTTTTTAATTTTAAAAAAAGGAAGTCTAAAACTTTATAAGATTTAATTTAAAAGAAAAGAACTTGTTACTGTATGAATTAGCTAAACAGTACGTTAGGACATCCAGTAGGGCAGCCAAGTATCTAAACATCCTCGCTTCCTCTCTCTGCTTGGGATTGTTGATGTTAATGCTCCTTCTCAAGAAGAAACTGCTGCTGGATAGGCACCTGGATCCTCCCTTGAGAAGCCACAGTCTGATCATGCTTGGAAATGGCCCCTTGGAGAACACAAATGAAAACCCCATCAGAGGATATTTTCTTATTGGCCTGATGATGTTTAGCTTTTTGGTAAGTTAGAAGTTGAGAATGAATGTTTATTTTTCCTTCTGCCATAGCAATGTGCATGGATTAACAGTGAAAGCAAAACTCCATGTGCTAATTCTCTTTGACTTTATTCTCTGGAGTTATTTCCAAGGAATAGACATCCATGGAAACTTTATTCTTCATGCAGTGCTATCCAATATGGCAGAAGCCCCTCATTACACCATGCTACTGACCGCTTGGAATTTGACTAGGATAACCATGGAACTGAATTTTAAAATTTTGTTTAATTTTGATTAATTTAAATATTTTTAAAGGAAAATTATAAAAAATCATATTTGTTAGGAACAACTACAAGGTTCTGACAAGTACATTTACCTATCAGGCAAGATATTAATTAATTATTTTTTTAAATGTGCTGTAACGATCAAGAAATTGAAAGTTGTATATAGTGTATAGCCCACATTATATTTTTACTGGAATATACTACTCTGTAGAAAGTAGAGCACAAACTTTGGTGTTGGACTGAATGGAAACAAAGCCCCATTCTTCCATCTACAAGTTTGGCCATGGGAAATTAAACCATCACTCAGTGCATTGGCATTCTTACCTATAAAACTGGTATAAGAATATAGGTCCTACTTGTAGGGCTATAGGGATTAAATGGATTCATATTTAAACAAAGTGTTTAAAATAGTGTCTGTTGTATACTAGACAAACTATAGTCATTTGTGAATTAAAAATAAGAGCATTTTTTTCTAGATGAGGTAGATCAAAATTCTTCAAATGGATACTCAATAAGAGTAGATTTACTTCTGCTAATCTAATGTTATAAAATAAACATCTCTATTGGACAAGGAAGTGAAGGAGTTAAAACTTTTAAGTCCATCACAAAAGAGTACGTATGGAGAGGACCTAGAGCACACACGCTAGCAAAAGCTTAGTACCCCCTTGAAATATAATCCGAAGATTTTACAAAAGCAAGTGTAGGTCACTGCTTACCTTGTGCTATGTTCTTCACTCTCCCAGGGCATCGAAGCTCCTCCTTTGATAGTACTTGTTGTAGGTAACAATCAGTACTTGCTATAGGTGATAATCAGGTGACAAAACTATAATACATAAAAATATTGGTGTCTATTTCACTGTTAACAGCAGTTATGTCATTAAGTATATAATTAAGGCAACTGAAAAATAGTCACTTAGGTGAAATGGTGATTTTCTTGCACTATATTCATTAAGAAACACAGAGCTGTGGATGGTGCTACAGGCCTGTTACCCCAGCACTCGGAATCACTGAATGAGAGGATGTGAGATTGAGCCCGGCCTAGGTAGCTTAGTGACCTAGTGAGAACCTGTCTCAAAATAAAAAAATAAAAATAAAAAGGGCGGGGGATGTAGTTCAATCTCAAGGCCCTGGTTCAGTTCTCAATATAAGAACAAAAAAGAACATTATATGTTCAAGCTTAGTGTAAAAAATAATGTATAAAATATTATTTGGAAGCTTTTTATAGACAAAGGGAAGGACAGAAAAATTTCACCTATAAAAATGAATAAACCTTTAATGTACTTAATTCATTGGTCAGATCCATTGGATGCTGGCTGCATGGCCCTGCACAAAACTCAATCTTTGTGTCATTTATATATATATATCTTCTGTTGGGTAAAGTTAAGGCAAAGTGAGCAATTTGTGATTTCAGGTTTTTTTGACCAAACAAAACATCCATTTAGTGGTCTAACATTTAAAATATATACAATATTTGTATTTTTCCCCCTTAGGCAATAGTTCAAAAGTGTAGCTTCTAATTTGAGAAGCTACTTATCTCTGTGTTTCATTTAGCTGTCTTTATTTCACATGGTCTTAGGTACATAATTATGGTCAATATTCTATAAAATATTGTTTTACCGGCCTAGAGTGTAAAAATGTGCACTCCCATCTCTCTCACAAACGTGTGTATGTGTGAGTGTGCGTGTGCGTGTGTGCACTTGGTACATACTCTGCCTGGTAAAATAAATCTGTATCATCAAGCTTAGGAAATGCAAAAGGTAATGTGTCGGGCAAAATTAGGAATATATTAGGCTTGTCATGCTATTTTCAGAATATAGTATTCCCCTCGCCTCCCCCGGGTCTGTGAAACACATCTGTGGTTTCTTTACTAACCATTTTCCAGCCTCTTTCATAAAATAACGGTTGTGTTCTGGTGTTTTTCATTTTGAATGCTTAGAGCATGTCTCCCATCTCATCCACCGTCACATTGTTAAATCTAAAGTAGAAAGAGAGAGTGATCACACTGGTCGCTCCAGTTGGCAGCAGAAAATGTGTTGTTTTCAATTACTCTGTGTAAGAGCTCAGCCAAAGGGAACAGCAACTTTCCAGGAGGATGTGCTTAGAGAAAGTGCTACCGCAATACAGCCCGAAAGTAACAACTCCAAATGTAAAACCTGAAGAAGGGATTCTCAGAAGTGACACTAGTTAATTCTGAATGCTCTCCACCAGGTTTTCCCCAGCCCCGTAAAGGACAAGCATGTGCCTTCTAAGCCAGTAGCCCAGGGAGGGGCGGAGGGCTGTGTGCCCACAGAGTGCTGTTTGACAAAGGAAGTTCATTTGCACAGACTCGCTCTCTTCAAGGATGCCTGCTCCCTGCAACGGTAAAAGCTAACACAATACAGAAGTCTTGCTCATATAAAGGATTTGCGATTAACACTCTACCTCAATTCTGATTTTCCATATTTTTTTAGTAGGACCAGGTTTGCTAATAAATTGCCAGCTGTTAAAGTCACTAAGCCTATTTTCATCACAACCACCACATAACAGGACCCCTGCAAATAACAGAGGCCTGCTTTTCTCTCCTTGTACACTTTTTATATTGTTTCAGATGAAACGTACCCTCCTCCAGCATTTCTGGGACGTTGTTGTTAATGACTCAAAATTCAGTTATAAGGCTTGGGTGGTAAGTTGGTAGACTGTGGGCAGCGTGGCATCCAAGCCAGTCTCTCTCCTTTCTCAGAGCAGAAGATTTCTAAGAAAATAGTAGGAAAGTGTCACCAGAAGTCACAAAAGCCACCAGGAAGTTAGACTAATAACCAATAACTGTCTTTAAAAGCATGGATATTCAAAATAATGCTTTATGAGAAGTCAAGTTGGAAAAAAGAAGGAACTGATTAGAAATAAAACTGAGGAAGGGAAACAGCCATGTTCTGGTCATCAAATTATACACAGACCTGCTGTAATTAGGAAGATGTAAAGCTCAAGTCCTGAATGATGAGCCCTAACACTGAACCTTCCCAAGAATCCCACAGATTTTCTCTCTTCCTCTTCCTCGACAACACCCCCCCCAAGTGTAAGTAAATTATTTACTAAATAAAGAGCTCTGCAAAATAATAATATTCTATAAAGATTCTGCATATTTTGGGGGGGGAGTTAGTGGAAATCGCTTGCTAACAGCTCAAACTTCCCAATAGCAATGAGCTTTTGTCCCCAAGAAAATACGATTTTTATCACGCCACCGCTCTTGCTACAGTGCTGGCTTTGACAAGCTGTGTTCCTGGTAAAATGTTACTGTTGGCAAACACAGCCTGTGGGGGACATCGAGGGGAAGCTCCCTCCTCAGTGGAGATGTGCGAATTGACTACAGCACCTGGAGGACAGACAGGTACCTCTGACCCAGATTCGCTCTGTTTTCTAGCACCCTGTCCCTCTGTTCTGTAATGAGAGCCAAATGTTCCCTTTCTGCAGTCCCTGCAGCCCTGTAATGTGATGCCCTGTGTCAGCCTCCTCACCCTTCCCCACTCCTGGGCCTTGTTGCTACCATGGCCCCGAAATTGAAAAGGGGGTTAAAAGCCCACAGTTTTCCCTGGTGACGGCTCGCCCTCTGTGCTCCTTGGGAGGGGACAGCGTTGTGCCCTCCTGACTTTTGTTGCATGATGAATCGGAGGATTAGCAGGTCAGTTCTGGACGCCAACCTTTGTTTAGCGGTGGGAGAGTTACCATATATTTTACCTTTAGACCCTCCTCTTCCGAAGGCAAAGCCTAGTGAATTTTACAGGAAATGCTTCTCTCCCTAGCCTAAATCACTGAAGCTGTAGTTTCTACCATCTTCCTGGCTGTTTTTCTCCCTCTCTGAAAAGACACAGGGCAGTGAAGCCCCAGCAGTATGGCTCAGCAGCTTGTGCTGTGCTGTAATCCCATCCAAAAATGTCAGGTCATGGCCTAGTTGGACACAGAAAGTTCATCCTTTTCCTAAAACAGTCTAACCACAAACCAGTGCCCCACACAGAGCCCAATCAGCCCCCTCTACTCAGTGGATAAACAGGAGTCTGCCTCCAAGTCAAAGCCAATCTTGGGAATATTTCAGAAAAAAAATGCAAGGAAACCAAATATATGGTGGGCAGAGGACCCTTGATCAGGTTTCCTAGTACTCTAACCCAGCACAATCTATCTTCAGGCTGAGTAAGCCTGAAAACTTTTCCAGAAGACCTTGCCTCTTGTCAAATTGGAAACAAGACTACATAAAATTCTGGTTTCCAATTTGTCAACTCAGGTCCTGTCTTTCTATCATCTCCACCTTCTGTTTTTGTGGTCTCCTATATAAATTTTGTTATTATTATAGTAAAGCTGTGGTTTTGAACGATGTCCTCTCTGCCAGTGCAGAGACACAGACTAGACTTAAAGAAACCAACTTAGCTTCAGTCATCCTGGTGAGAAAAGTCGAGACAGTGAAGGGAGAGGAGGAGTCAAACTCAAGAGCTACATGGGCAAAAGAGGGAGATTGGTTGATTGGTTTATTGTGCATCTGTCTATGCTGGGGATTTGTTATGGTTTGTGTCTAGATGTCCCCCCAAAGCCTCATGCAGTCATGGGATGGGTTTCTAGAATTTACAATTGATTCATAGTCCAAAGCTGAGATTACGGGTGTGAGTGCTACACCCACCCTGGGGTGGGTAGTTTGCATACAATGTAAGGGAGGGAAAGAGGCTGCTTGCTGCTCCTCCATTTTGCTCCTGCTGCTTCTGCTGTTTTCCACAGCCATGAACTGGTGTCCTGTGCCATCTGCCACCCTTCCTTGGAGCCAGCTGATTATGGACTGAAACCTCCACAAACTGTGAGCTAAATAAACCTTTCCTTCCTTTATTTTGGGCGTCAGTTATTTTCTCTCAGCTATGAGAGAAAAGTAACCAAGACAGGATTGAACCCAGCCTCTTGCACATGCTAAGCAAGTGCTCTGCCACTCACTACATCCTCAGCCCTCTGAAAGATTTTTAAACTTTTGACACAAGGTCTGTACGGATTTCTCAGGCTGGACCCCAACTTGTGATCTTTCTGCCCTGAGTAGCAAGTATAACAGGTGTGCCACCATGCCAGGAGTGGAAGAGAGATTTTTAATGTAGCTATTTATTTTAAATGTAGGCATCATATTGAGCACTTCAGATGTGAATCACTCAGTACTCAAACAGATTTAATATAAGATATATAAATATATAAACATCTACAAGGTAGGTTTACAATGGCTGCCTGCAGTGTCAGGTGTGGAAGGGCACAAAAGAGCTGCCTTCACACTGGAGCTTCAAAAGACCCAGTCAAAATTCAAAGGCCTGGTGTGCATGGAAGAGTCTTGTAAGGAAGCAATGCATCTGTGATAGAAGGCTGAAGTCTGTGCTGGGAGCCTCGAGCCTGACATTTAAGGTGAGGTGAAGACTGGAGCTCCTCTTTAGGTGAAGACTGGAGCTCCTCTGAAGAAACAGAAGCAAGCTTCCTTCTTTCCCCTTTTTTGTTCCATTCAGGCTGCAAGCCTGTTTGTTGATGCCACTCACATCCAGCGTGGGTCTTCTGTCTTCAACAAATACATTCAAGCACACCCAGCCCTACCCCAATCCAGTCAGCTGGGCATTTCTTTCTCAAGCTGACACAACAGTTAAACATCACAACATGTATTTTCTAATTCAATCTATACTGCAAGCCTGTGATAAAAATATGATTCTTACACCATTTTGAAAACAAGGAAAAAATTGAAGGGTAGAGAAAGATGAAGCAACTCCCTTTATGCTAAAGCATGACTGAGCTGGGATTTGTATAAAAGCCCATCAGATTCCAAAGCTCAAATTCTTAATAAAAATGCCCAACAGAACCTGGTGATTGATTAGAAGCTGTAGGAGATGCAGGCCAGGAAGCCAGAATAATAATGCTATCCTGAGTGTAGAAATGTAAATCAAGATACAAAGTAATGTCAGTCAAGACACAGTTAAACTTGAATGGGACTTAGTGGTTTGGACAGACTCCACCATTTTATAGATGAGGAGTCTGGGCAGCCAGAAGTGACCTGATCTATGTAAGTTCTAATAATGTAATATTGGCAGAGCTCAAGTTGGAAGGAAGTTCCTTGAAATCTCAGGTTGTGTTTCCACCTTATCGACTTCCTTGGCTAACACTTATGAGCATCTGTATATTCAGTGTATGGTTTGGTAATTTTAAAAGTCTTCACTAAAAACAGAATATTTTCTCCTGAAGTTTATGACACCACAGAAATACCTACCATATGTAGGTAGGAACTACTAATCATTACATCTCAGCTATCATGACATTTTTGAGTACTCGCTATAGGGCCAGGAGGAGGGAATGTTAAAGTATTAAGCATTGATTTCCCTAAAGCGAATGAGCCAGCTGGACAGCTTGCTTGGAACATTTTGTTCAGAATCTCAAGAAAATTGGGTGAGACAAAAGAAAGTTTAAAAATCTGCTGTCCTGTTTTCTAATGAAAATATAGAGTGTTTTCTTTTATGTACACGTTGAACATTCTTTGTGCCTTTCAGATATGCTAGGGGTGGATATATTTTCTCTTGGTCTGTAGTTTCCTGACTCATGGACACATGAGCCAACCATTCCCTTCCAGGGTATAAACCAGCCAACTTCCTAATTAAGAAAGAAAAAGCACCAACGGTAAAGCATTTGTTTTGAACAAACATTAATTTCTGTAGCCTGTATTTGGGTGCCATGTTCCTATAGGTTATTTAACTTGGGTAAATTTATTCCATTCTCACCCTCTTATTAGATCCGTCTTTCAGATAAGGAAGCTAAAGGCAAGAAAAGGTTTTTTGTTCAAGCTCACAGAGCTAGTAAGTAGAATATCCAGATGTCAATTCACTAGGTTCTTTCCAAAGCTCCAGATCTTTTCTCAGCCTTAATTCCTCTGCAATTGTTCAATGGCTCCTCATCTCTTAGGATTTGAAATCCAAACTACTGAAAGAGACATAGGACCTGCTTGTGTCCTGGCCTCTGCTTGTGCCCTCTGCCTCCTCTCTTTGTGATCTTGCTAGAAACAAACAACATTCCACGCAACTGCAAGGCCTCTCTGTAAATTCTCTCACTTTGGCTAAGCAGTTTCATGCTGCCTGGCCATTGAGCATAGTTTTTCCTCTATTTTATAACTCTCTCTTCTCACCAAACTCACAGCTACTTTATAGATTTGGACTCTTTAATTTCCAGGTACTACTTTATCTCAACTCTCTCATTTTTCATAATTTCAGTTACTTGGAAACTACATGACAGCAAGTATAAGCATTTTACAATGCAGACCTGAGAAAGAGAGAGAGAGCAGCTTTTGGAACAGAGGGGGACTTGGATGTGCTACTTCTTCCACACTATTTCTCCACATACCATTTTGGATGGCAGCATAGTTCAGGCATCTGGACCATCACGATACACAGGTAAGACCATTGCTAGTTAGCAAATTCCACTCAAAGGCCTGGTGGGAACTGGTTCTGCACTCTGTCTAGTCCTGCCATACCCAAAAGAATGGGCTCAAGGTATGTAGACCTGACCTGAGGGGAAGGCTTAAGTCCATCCAAGGCAGGACAAAAATATAACATCATACACATCATTGGTATGTTGTCAGGAGTGAGCAGGAAGGCTTTTTAGGCTAAGGAACAGTGCATCTTGGCCCAAGAAGCAGCACATGTTTGAGGAAACAAAAGGAACGACCCAAATAGTTCAAGAAAAAATGTTCCTAGGAACTTCTAAAAAATA